CTGCCTCCCTTAGCAGACACCTGGCTTTCCAAACCCAGACAGAGAGGGACCAGCTGTCAGTCAGTGCCCAGCACTGGGCAGAGCCCCACAGCACCAGCACACTCTGGAGACAGCAGGTTAACAATTACAGGACATTTGGGTCAGAGAGATGTTAAATTCATCTCCTTCCACCAGGCTGCTCCAACCTGGCCTGGAAGGATCATCAGTACAAAACCAGCGAGGCATAAAACTGTAGAAAATTATACATTGGGCCAAGAAACCAAACAAATTATCAAAATAGAGTAAATCATTGCAGGCATAACAACACTGTGTAAAAAAACCCCACTAATTCCAATAATTATAATTTTATTTCTGAATATCATAAGAATGCTGCTTAATGAGCTTTCAGTTTTGGATGATGCTCTGTTGAGTCCCAGGCCAAACTAAGTGTGATTTCAATTAACAAAGAAACAAAAGAAGAAAGAAGGAGAGAAATGACAAAGAAACAAAACCAACAAAGGACAAAACTACAATTCTCCTTTGCTGAGATTCAGATTTTCAAATTAAATAAGCATCATATGGAAGGAATAGTTGGTGTACAGAGAGCTAAACAAGCATTTGAACAGAAATAGTTAAGGATGCCATTTCCAGGAATAGAAAGGAGCCAGAGACAGCCAACTGCAGACAGACAGAGATATGCTAAACCCTCTCTCACACGTTTTCTTAAGATGTCTGTGCATAATTCAATTTGAAGCCCAGGCTCATACCAAAATATATAACTTCACATCGCAGTACATGCCTGCCTCAATGGATTTAAGTTTCACTTGAGCAACATATGGAAAACATCTGCCTATTGCAACCTAGTATGGCTCCTTTCTGTAAACCCTTGGAAGTCCTCACGGCCTCTTTGGATTTGGTTTCCAAGAGGAATCAGCTCTCTGGCCTGCTGCTTTTCCTCCCATTTACATCTGAGCCGGATGACTTTGGAAGATAAGCAGATCTGTTCATGGATGGTAGGAAAAGGATATTTGGGTTCAGGCTGGAGCACGTGGGGCTCCTGCCAGATACAGAAAATGCACCCCAGGACACGGCTGGGTCTCACAGCCTCCCCCTGAGCCAAGAAATGAGCACATAACTCAGGGCAGGTTCAGACAGCTCTGAGCCCCACCACTTGTAATGATCCCTGAGGGTCCCCATCCTTCTCAGGAGTGGCTCTCCATGCAGCCAGCCACACTTCTGCACCTTGTCCTGCTTGGAGAATCCCTGGCTGCCTCCCAGGGGCTGCTCCCAGCCCCCCATGCAGCCCCAGCAGGGCCAAAGGCCAGGCCAGACCCCACTCCCACCCCACATGGCAAATTCATCTTGTTCTGTTCTACAGTCACAAAAGTCAGGGGCAAAGCAAAGAGATCTGCTGATGAATCAGATCTGAAAAGATGAGCAAACTGCTCCACTCTGGCCATTTTCTAACCACGTTCCCTGCGCTCTTCCCAGTGGATCTGGATAAAAATGTCTCCACTGACCTTCCATGGGATTGATGCCAAGCACCAATTCCCCCAGAGGGGAACTTGGAGATCAGGAAAAGTTTCTTCCTTTCAGAATCCTGAAATTCTTCCCTTCAGGATCCTCCAGCACAGCCCCTGGCACTGCCCAGGCTCCCCAGGGAATGGGCACAGCCCTGAGGCTGCCAGAGCTCCAGGAGCCTTTGGACAGCACTGCCAGGGATGCCCAGGCTGGGATCATTGGGATATCTGTGCAGGGCCAGGGTTGGACTGGAGGATCCTTGGGGGTCCTTTCCAACCCAGGATGAGGATGGATTCACTGAAATTTTCAGACTCACGTCATAGTTTGAAATGGAGACATTCTGTGCTGAATACACCAAAAATTATCTTCTCTCCAGATGACGTCATGCTTCTAGCACTAAGTCCTTTTTTGCACTGGGCCTTGCTTAGTCTGCACAGCCCACATGGAGCAGAGCCCTTAAACTCCAGTCAAATTTCAGCAACGATTGCAAAAGATGAAATTCCCGTATTCCTGGACAGGCAAATTTCCTCCCAGCTATAGAAGTGTGATGGGAAGGAATCCAAGAGGCAGAAACAAAAATAACAGCTTTAAGCAAGGAAAGACATCGACCTGAGCCATGCTATTGCCTAAGCTGGGATGTCAGGGATAGGAAGGGATCTGGAAGGGAAGGCTGATTATTTAGTCTGGCAAAGGAGCGTTTGGAGCGTGGGGTGTATCAGAGGAGTGATGCAATCACAGATGATGGACTGCAGCCACCAAACCTCTCTAACAAAAAATACTTTGTGCTAGCGCAGCTTTGGGCAGCTTCCTGCAGCAAATACTGCTGGGCTGATATTCCCTAACCGAGATAAATGGAAAGCAAAGGCAGTCAGAGCAATCCCTCCCTCTGCAGGGAGATTGAAGTGACCTCACTGACATGGAATTGCTTTTAAGTGAAGAACCTGTGTGCACACGTGTAAATAATCCCAGATATCCCAGTTTGGGTCTGTTCTTCAGAGACCTCAGGAAAGGTCAGCAGGCACAACCCAGCTGGCCACTTTCTGGTCTTTTCATGTCTGAGGTAGCAAGGGACACTCAGAGCTGTTTGTTTGTCACATCTTTGCAGGCTCCCAGGGGATTTATGCACACCCAGCTCCCCAGCCCCTGATTCCCAGAGCTTGGACAGCCAGAGGTGATAGCGGGAATTCTGAATAATTCATTTGTTCCCAATCTTGCTTCATCTGCCTCAGTCTAAACTAAGAAAATATTTGTTGTGTGAGAATGGAAAAACATCCCACTCAACTCCCTAAATGCCTTCCTTCCCTGCTCCTTCCCTGCCACCCTGACCCCCAGTACTTTCCAGATCAGATTTCCTCACCCCTCCCGAGCAGACCACACGCTGGGAATGACACAATTCCAGCACACAGTGTCCCGCAGCCGGGGACACTCCATGCAGGGACCCCAGGGGCGTGGTGGGGTGGTGCCAGCCCTGCACCCACTCCTGGAAAAGGCTGCCCAAGCTCCAGCTCTGCCCATCCCAGCAGCACACAGAGCTCGGGAAGAACAGGGGCCCTGGAGCACATTGCAGTGTCCCACGGGCAGATGGATTTTCACTCCAAAGGGTTTCCAAAGACAAAACTCAAGCACACCAAGACTAATTTTTTACCCCAGGATGACTCAGGTTGGGCACTTACCTGCTGGAAAGTCATGGAAGCATTCAGGTTGGAAAGGACCTCCAGGATCAGAGCCCACCCTGTGCCCCATCCCCACCTTGTCCCTCCAGGGAGGAATTCCTCCCCAGTGCCCAAGGCACAGGTACTGCAGGTTTTATAAGCAAAACCAGAGACACAAATGGAAAGGGAGCACAGATTCCAAGTCAGATGTAATTACAGGAGGGGTTTTTTGCTATTCTCTGGATGTTTCATAGCCAATACACAATCTGTATGAGATCATCCCTAATCTCACCTAAGCAAAGCATCTCTGACATGATTAATGGCCTGTTGAACCAATAGGATTACAGAATTTAAACCAGATTAATACCAATAAGACTTAGACTAAATTAATGTTTCATCCAAAAGCACCTTGTTTCACTTTTTCAAAGGTAACAACTCTGATTGTGCAGCTGCAGACTTACAGTTCCCAAAACAGGATACAGCACTAACAGATTATCCACGGAGTAATGGTGGTGTAAGTGCTAATTAGGGCTGGAAAAGCAGGACCCTAACAAGCTGTTAGAACTCCTTAAGAGCTCTCCTTTATTGCTTAAAGCAATAACTTGTTGGTATATAGCAGAATTTATTATACAGCACCGCCTAACCCTCCAAAAAAGCTGCGCTATTTAGCTAAACCAGACACGAGTACCCAAACCAACTCCAGGTATGTTTATTTTTCTACCAAACCCTTCCACAACCCTGGCACACACCGACCACAAACTGAACTTGCAGGGAACGCTTTCTTTTGCACAAACGACACAAAACAACCCAGCCCAGCCCGCGCAGTCCTGCACGTCCCGATCCGCCTTGGGGCGGATCAGAGCATCCCCCAGGCCAACCTGGAGGGCTGGGATTGAGCAAGCTGCCCGCCCCCTTCCCTTCCCTTCCCTTCCTTCCC